GAGTAGGAAGAAAAAGTTGCTGCAATTTCTCTTCTGCCAGGATGGCAACGGATTCCCGACTTACCGACTATCTAAGTGCCGCAGTAAGGAAACCTGGAGACATCAAAAGAAAGAGAGACGGCGGAAGCCGCAAGGGTTGATGGGACGCTCGGGGAAGGTCCTGGAAGGTCGGGTAGAGATGCTTTCGAGGTGGAGGGAGAGCTATCGGAGAGCTCTGCCTCCTATCCAGTCAAGCTCATTAAGGGACGGTCAAATGAAATGCCTTCGTTTAAATTCTAGTTAAATAAAATTCACATTTAACTCAATAACGGCATGGGATGTCGTCGGGCCATTAACAAGGACCTTTATGCATCACTTCCGCCTATAGGGGCAAAATGTAGACGGGGGAGGTAAGAAAGGATAGAGGGAGCCACACTTGCTGTTCTAGTGGATCTAATTGAGAACCCTTTATATAGGATTAAACAGACGTCCCCGGATTGTGTGACAAGGAGCCGCAAAGTCGTCTACAAATAAAGCGTCGCGGCCAAACTCTTGTAATTCGCAATTTCTTAATGCTTTTTACAGAGTTTTGCGTTTAGATTAATTACATTTTAATTCAATTTATTAATTGAAAAAACGTATCTACCGTCTGACCGTGGGGCGTTAATATCCATGGGGCAGGAAGAAAACCAATGATGTTAATATGAATTCCACCATAGAAAAAGTTTTTCCTGATACAGGCAGTCCTGAACTTACGACCACAACTGATCCCAAAATTTCTGTTGTTAAATGAGTTATTTGTAAAGTGAGTTTTGCCACATTGTACAACCTTTCTTGCTAAAGTTGTTAAGTGAACCGTTAGCAACCGTTTGTTAAGTGAATCTGACTTCCCCATTGACTTTGCTTGTCAGAAGGTCACAAAAGGGGATCACATAACCTGGGACACAGCAACAATCATAAATATGAACTAGTTGCCCAAGCATCTGAATTTTGATTACATGATCTTGGGGATGCTGCAAAGGCTGTTACTGTGAAAAACGGTCATAACTCACATTTTTCAGTGCCGTTGTAACTTTGAACCATCGCTAAATGAACTGTTCAGATATTGGGTAACCCTAGATACCAACCAATTGAGATTTGTAAATAACTTCTTTAGCTGAAAGTAGAAAAGATTTAGGAAATCACATTATGAAACTAAAAAAAAATATTAAGTTAAAATCTGGTTTAAGATTAAATATCAAGAAGACAAAACTTGTCAGACTGCATGCTAAGTGCCTTTACAGTTGGCAGCAAACAAGGCTTGAAGGAGGATGAAGGCAATAGATGAGGTCGGTGGATAGGCCTTCCAAGAGATTATTGGAATGTTCATAGAAGAAATACAAATTATTACTTGTGAATGGTCACAAGAGGCTTGCCTTTCCGGTTCCGGCAGCCAAGAATGATTTAAATTCTGCATTCTGTCTCCCCACTTTTCAAAGGACATCTCCAGTTTCTAATGGAAAAAGGAAAAAACTATAGCAGTTAAAGAGTGTGGCTCCATCTACAAATTAACTCTGTCTAGCTGTGCACCAGATTGAAGAATTTGAGTGAGTCTGCTGGTAAATTTCAGAGTGAAAGCCCCACATCTCTATTTCATACCTGCTGTGCAAAGGCAGTTTCATGTGGACACTTGAGTTGGTTATGCTTCTTAACATGAACCTTTATGACTAGGGACGTAAAAATCCGTCAAATATACACAGCCTAAAATACACGTAAGAGTATTTTAGAGTATGACCAAGAATTCATTAACTCTTATTTTGCTATGTGATATAAAACAATTCTGAAAAAGTTGAGATTCAAATCTAAGAACCTGGTTTCCATTTAATGGTTATGTCTTATGAATATCACAATAGCAATACTTAGTGACTCTATCTGATCTGGAAGAAGGTAAGCACCGTCAGACTTGAATAATAATTGAATGAAATATCATCAGGAAACCCAGAAATTCCACTGGAAAGTTGAAAAAAATCACAGGGAAGAAAACCAAGATTTTTGTATTGTCACCAAGAAAACTACAAGGATATATCTATATAGTTAGCAGAAGCTGAACTTTATTCCAGGGAGGAAGAATTAAGAAAAAAGATTTTGTGTATACTTATTCAACTAATGCAAAGAGAAACACATTATTTACAAACCACATTCCTAAGAAGCTGATGACAATTGGGCTCACACATTGCACAAAAGACTAATTCATTTTCACTTAGTATATTAATCTAATAATTGTGTTTTTAAAGTATGATGTATCGCCTGTGCCTGTATTAGTGTAAAGCCTAATGGTTCATTAAATAAACTGCAACCATTTGTAGTTTATTTAATGAACCGGTTAGTCAAACTAGGGCCTATATAAAATAAAGATAGCATTTCCCGTGCTAGTTGCAGATCCAAAACTTGAATAACATAAAATGTAGAATATCATAACCGTAATATAATTCAGCTATATACATGCATCCATTTGAAGTATGAAAATGTGACTCTTGCTAATGACCAATTCATGAACACTCATAGGTTTGACTTGCAAACTAATTTATGAAGGTCCAATAGGGTTAAATAGCTAAATGAAATCCTTGAAAGCAGATTCAGTTCTTCCATTCAAAGGGTGTCTATGCTTCTGTTGTGTAAAAAAGCCAAAGTAACAACTAACGTTAGCTACATCTTATAGTTCTGCTTTTTTCCAAATTTTATTTTGCTCTTTAATGCCTCCACTGACAACTTCAATTCAAATTAATATACTATCATAGTCTGGATATTAATATTCTACTTGCTACATAAATTTATGTTTGATTCCAAACACCCTGTTGTGAGATTTTGCAAACATATAACAGTATCTTTTTACAGAAATGTCAGCATCACCCTTATTCTGATTGCTCCTTCCCCCCCAAATTAGGAAGTTGTCACCTGGCAGCTTCAAGCAATCTACTGGACAAGTCATTTAACAAGCTCCCGGCATTTTCACCTCAAACCAACATTTTCAGCAGGGCTTGACAGAAGACTCACATCAAGTCCCAACTACAGTAATTACGGTAAGATGTTTATTGCAGACAACACTGAAGCCACACAAAGAAATCAATATCTCTCGGCAATGCATTTTTTTTCTATTTTCCCAAAGGTTTTATCCTTCTGTTCTTCTTTATTAACAGATGCTTGGCAACCTTGAAGTTAGGTATTGGCAATACATTTATGCAATGGTCATCTCTAGCCTGGGAACTCCTGTTCCCATCTCCTTAACCTTTGTATCAGCTCTCCCATTTTACGACACAGCTCCCTTAGCCTTATGATCATCTGTTTAGCAGGCTTGTTTTGAAATTGGTTGAGCACTTTGAACATTATAGTAGCTGTCGAAAGCAAGTTGCTGGATTTTGAGCTGTTTCTCCTGCTTCATTGGGCACCTCGCTCAGCCTCATTAGCTGTTTGAGGCTGGTTTTGAGAACTGGTTTAGTACTCTTTCAAATCCCCACCCCAATGCAGTGTATTGTAGGGAGCTGTTACGGTAGGTAGTGGCACCAGCAGCTGTGCCTAGATCTTTTCATCTGTAAGGGGGGGGGGGAGGAATTTGTGGCAGAAGACACTGCCAGAGCTTGTTCATACCACAGTTAATGTAAGTGACCCTAATATTGCATAGGGTTGGACTGTAAGAAAATCAAAATCCAATCATTTCACTTTACCTGTCTTCCAAGAAAAAAAGCTATAGGAGAAGAGTGGCTGAAAAGCCCTTCTATTAAATTAAATCTTTTCAAAGTTGGCTGTAGCAGTCAAGTCAGACTTATTGAAGTTTACCTGTCCAGCAAGAATGGGGCCATTGAAGTAATAAAGCCTTGCTAGTGGTCTCCTAGTATAAAGGCTCAATGAATATCAGACACAACCTAAATGGAATTTTGTAATTCTCCAAATAGTAGCTTTTAATCAGTGTGAAATTGTGTGCAGCTACAATCACCTGTAAAATTTGACTAGATTTGTATTTTATTTCATTAAGGGTGCTGTGATAACGGGCTCACCATCAATATTAACAGGGAACACAACTGATCTCTTTAATGAAATGAAATATCTAATGATATTAATGAAATATCTAAAGTTAGATATTGATCTTATGTCTGAATTGTTCAGGAATGATCCTGGCAGTGCAAAATTGCTCTTTATCCTAATTGAGTACAAAGTTGTGCCTTAAATTTTGTATATAACAATATGAAGAAGGTCCAACAATATGCATTTGGATCAAGAAAGCCCTTTACACTGTACAGGATTTCCATTTCTACAGTATAGTATATTGCATGCAGATACTACAGGATAAGACAAAAACTGACCATCTTCCATCTCCATCAGGAAAAGTTATGATGGGAGATGACAAATGAAAAAATAAAGGCAGGACACTATATGATATAGGTTAATAAAACTATCTGCAGTATAGGAAGATTATAAACAAGGGAAATTCCTATCTTCTTGTAAAGGGAGAGCCCACGGCAGCTTAGGGGTTTTCCAGATGCACTTTGCTGGTCACACTGGAAACGGAATGCTTATCTAGAGTCTTGTTGCTTGATGGAGGGTAGCCCTTTTGCCTGAAAATGCGAGGACACAAAAATGGGACATTCTGCAAACAAAATATGTCTTCTTCCACACAGCCCTTGCCCTCAGCCTTCTCAGCAGTATCATTATTGTAATAATATCGATGCATCTCCTGAAATAACAGAGGGGAATGTGCAACCAAATTTGAAGAGTCGTTTGACTGTCAAAGCTAATGGTAACCGTAATACCATTTTAGAAGACTACCAATTTCCCACCCATTGAAAAATTTGCTGCTTTGTGATTCGTTTCTACTGTATGTTTCTAAGGAGGGAATGGAAGAAAAGCTGTTTCTCTAATTAAACAAACCTTTCATTGAAAATCTGTAGCATGGTAATTCATGCAACATGCTTAAAATACATACAAATTGATTGTCTGAAAGCCCCTTTCACCAAGTCATAATGTATAAATGGGACAATGACCCTCTGTTAGTCCGATGCAGCAGATTTCTTGGTCATGTTCTTCAAAAATGCCATCAAATGTAATAGTTATGTTTGCGAGATTCTGGATCCCCTTAGGTCGTGTATCCCTTGTTGCTGACTGGCCAGTTGCGGTGAGGAACGTGAATACCAGGATTGACTGGGTGTGTGTGAGAAACATGGCTGAACAGAACTTCACTTCTATCCTGTCTTGATTCAGGTAGACACAAGCACAGCTTATCAAGGAGATGCCCAGGCCAGAAATTATTAGGGTTGGTCAAGGGATTCAGATAGTTATACATTCTCCTCAGTTCTCTGCAAGCAAATAATATGATCATGAAACAATATACAGAAAAAACGAGGTGGAGATTTAATAAACTGAAGTTTTGTCATTTTGCAAAAAAAAGGAAGAAAAAATTAGGGTTTGACCCTAAGCTGCAATGTGGCTTACTTGATTCCAAATTTGCCAGATTGCTACTATGCCAGGGGTTCTCAACCAGGGGTGCTCGCGCCTCCTGGGGGTGTGAGATGATATTCCAGGGGGTGCGAAAACTTGGATTTAGAAGTTTCAAAATTATAGTGTACGTGCATAATTCATTGCCATTATTTTGAACTTTTTTAAGGGGTGAGAGAATATATCAGAAGCACTTTAGGGGTCCAGAATATAGAAAAGTTTGGGAACCAGTGCAGTATGCAGTGCAAGCCATGGTTTAGGTTTAATATGTTGTTTTGATGCATTTTAATATGAAATTCGTATATGTACATAAATAAAAAAATAAAGGGGAACTGAAATTTTATTGTTGTCACCTTAATGAGAATAAACCCTAAGTCAAAATTAAAATAAAGTACTGTAACCTAAATCTGAAGTGCAAACTAAAAGGCTTGGGTCAAGTTGATCTGCAACACTGCCTCCTACTGGAGCTCACTTGCATCTAAGTTTATTATGTATCCTGAAAAAATTGATTTCTAAATTTCTAAAAATTTGATTTCTAAACTGCTTGAAACTGACTTGAAAAAATAAGTACCTTTAAAAGCCAGCTACATTATAATAAAAAATATAAACTATCAAAACTAACAAAACTATTTCCCTTTTATGAACTGTAAGTAACAATAGGCAATTCTTTGCCTGTATGGATTGGTTAGGATAGAGACTCAACTTCTAGTAAAATAAATAGATTTATATTTTCTTTTGCTATCGTACTTCTATTTGGATGCTACATTTGAATTTTTTTAAAATTATTTTTGATGTCTGTGATTCTTAATAGTTAGATTTAAATAAACTTTCCCAAATCTGGGTGTTATCTAGAGGTATACAAATCATTTTCCAGAATTCTCCTGCTCACATGAGAAAATTGCTGAAAATTGTGGGAATTCAAAGACATCTAGGTTGAGAAAATGTAGGTTAAATACATCAGATTTAATTGCTGCCTATATGCCGTTAAAATACATTGAAAAAAATCTTTTACCTCTTTCTCTATTTCTCTCTCTCTCTTCTCTCTTTTCTCTCTCTCTTCTCTCTCTCTATCTATCTATCTATCTATATATATATATATATATATATATATATATATAGAGAGAGAGAGAGAGATAGATAGATAGATAGATATAGATAGATAGATAGATAGATAGATAAATAGATAGATAGATAGATCTTTAATGCCAAGTTCAACAAAAGAAATGTAATCTCATACCTTTCCATGTATTTTTTTGCAAGCACATCTGGATTCTCAGGCAAATTCTCATCAAGAAATTCCACATTCCAAATCTCCAGTGGAGGAAGTATTCTTTTGGAGTGTGGACTGTAAAGTGTAAAGAATTTCAATTTAGAATCAAGTGGTATTTAAAAAGAAGTTGGACAGCTGGATGGCAAAAAAAAAAAAGAAATCCATACAGTAGAGTGTATATTGGTAAATGGAAATAACAGGCTAGCCCAGTGTCCTTTATTAACTTCAGCAACTTTAAGATGTGAAGTCCAATATTAAAGTTGCTGTGGTTAAGGAACACTGGGCTAGAATCATAGCCTCTACTTTCAACATAAAGTCTCTGTTAAGCTACCATTATGGTCAATTATTTGTTGTCCTCCCTAAATCCAGTTTTAGAGTTGAATATCCCAACAGCAAAAACTACCCCTAATTTTCTCTCCATCTGTAAGAGAAGAGATGCACCTTTGTATGGCCAACTGTCAAGGTAGGACAGCATCAAAATAAGACTCCCTCTAGCTTCTTCTACTGTTTTCCTTCTTTTACTGTTAACAGCCATGATCACAAATGCTGAAATAATCCAAATTTCCTTTGTAAATTAAAGTTAGAGAAAATAAGAGAGATCTGCACATTTATATTCACATTCATTCACAGATTTCTAATTTTGTTTTATTTGGGTGTTTGATTTATGTGTGGCCTTTGGCTGTAATAATAAATAAATTTAATTGAATTCTTTAGATACACCTCAAAGAATCAGTTATGATATCTTTGCTATGATACCTTTGCATATTTTGCAAATAAATTGCATAAATGCATTTTATTGTTTTCAGCCTCATACCACAGATCCCTCAATTTGAGATTATTAATCCTACCTAGATTTCAAATAAAATTCTATAGGATTTTTTTTTTAAATTCCCAGTACAGTATAATATTCCTAAAAGTTTGCCAGAATTGCAACTTTCTGAGCAAACTACCCAGCTCCATTAGCATAGAACCTCTGGAAACTGAAAACAAAATTTTAGGATAATTCTGTAATATCAAAATAAATGTCTAACTCTGTGTCTTGCCCACTAAAAAAATACTCAGTTCAATCCTGCTGCAGAAAATTTGCTGATCTCGTGGCACCGAAATATTCCATAAGAAGATGTATACCTCTATTATTCCTATGGCAAAATGCTTTTACCAACAATATGCAGGATTATGAAGAATAGTGATTTACCACAAAAATCAATGTTATGTGGCAAGTAAGCAGAAGTCCAAGAAAAAAAAATGTTTTTACGAACAGAACATAAAAATCAAAATGGCTTTTTTAAGCCATTTGCAGAATGGCTAAGTCAAATTGAATATGGATAATCCTTGATTTGCGACTGTAACTGAGCCAAGAATTATAGTTGTTAAATTGTTGCAGTTGTAAATCTAGGCATTGTATGAACAGATTTGTAGTTACAAACACTTTTACCACACTTGTTAAGTGAACCCAGTGGGTTGTTAAGCAAATCCATTTTCCCCAAAGGGTGTTTTTTGTTGGAAACTAGAGTATTGGAAACTGGCAAAAAAAAAAATTAATGTTGTGAATTATGTTCATGTGACTATGGGACACTGCAAACAGCCATAATGGTGAGTCAGTTGCTGCATGCCCAAAATGTGATTATGTGTTGTGTATGTAGCCATTGTAACTCCAAAAATAGGTTGTAGAGATTTGTAGAGAAGATTTCTTGTCATTTCAAATGGTCATTAAGTGAACAGTAGTAAATGGTGGCCTACCTGAATGGAAGAGAAATGACAGCTTGTGGATACTGAAGCTCCATTATTCCAAGAGCTTTTTAGATAATACTCCATCCTCCTGAATACATACCTCATCAGTTTCTTAAATTCCTTAAATGACACCCAGCGGCAGGTCCGAGGCTGCTTTTTGACTCGTTTCTTAATTGGTTTTGGCTTTCTAGAAGTAAACAAAAAAGGTGAACAGAAATTTAGCCCATAAGATCAGACCAGTCCTCCCCAAGCTGATTTTTTTTTTAAAAAATGTTACTATAACTCCAGAATTTTTAGATATTAATGGGGAAGAAGGTATCATAGTATGTTCAGGAAAACTGAGGTGGGGATCACTTATTTGTGTGTCTTTAACATTTGTACTAAAGTAAACTAGATAAGAAAAAGCAAAAAGCTGTACATATGAAAGCACAACCCTTTTAAAAAAATAGCAACAGTACAGAATATTCCGCATTATGAAAATTTATCACCAGATATAAGGAAACAAAATCTGTAAAGGTGAATGCTCTGCATGTTCTCTTAAGCAGATCTAGTCCCGCATTATGTTTCTATAGTGGCCAGCCAAATGTCTCTAGGGCAGGGTTTCTCAACCTTGACAATTTTAAGGCATGTGGACTTCAACTCCCAGAATTCCACAGCCAGCAAGGTTGAGAAACACTGCTCTAGGGAAACATACATACAAGACCTAACGTGTAGCAGCCAGTTCTGATTTGTTCTCACTGTATTGTTTTCAGAAGAACTCTGCCTTTGAACATTGTGGTTTATTCGATTATCATTATTATTACTACTTTCATCTATAAAAGTTTTCTCACGTCACAGCTAGAACACTGAGAGGATGTGAACCTAACTGGATCAAAAGTTGATTAACAGAAGTTGAGGAAACAATTAAGCATTAATGTGTTGGCAGCTTGGAGTTGGCATTAATGTATTAGCAGGACTACTTTGTCTACCCCACGGGTATCAAACTTGCCGCATCACGTGACGTGTCACTACTTTTTTTGCTGGGGTGGGCTCTGTATGATGCAACCGACCCACGGGCTGGCAGTTTGACACCCATGGACTACACAGAACTGTATGCACCCAATTCAGGCATCCTGGAAGAAACTACTTAAGGTCCCTACAATTGCCATGTGGGGAGGACCAAGAGTTGCAGATGCTGGATTTTCTGGTGACTGTGCCTAGATGGCAGAAGTGCTTTCCAACTGACATCAAATTGGACTTCTGAAAACTACAAAGTGATCAATTGTTTCAGAGGGCCTATGGTGACAGATTATGCCAATGTGAGGTTGGAGGTCCTTAGTGTTATTTTATAGTGGTGTTGGTTTACCATCTATTTTTACAGTGGATTTTTCGTGGTATTAATATGTTTGCTATGAATTGTCTACAGTTCAGCAAATACTGATGGGCACATAAATAAATTAGTATCCCTTCTCAGTTTTTATTAATTGCAGTGGCAGAAAAGAGCAGCAATTATTTTACACAGGTGAGGTGCTGAAGACAAGATGTTGCTGGACTATAATCCCCAACATCTTTTATATCCAAAGGGGGAAAGTTACTGGGAATTGTAGTTAAAACCAGGAGAGAACCTGTTCTCTCTGCCGATGAGAGTACATATCTTTTCTGAGGGACGAGGGCTGCATTTGGTTTTTAAAAAGTGTATATTCTCCTTCTGTCCTATTGAAGTTATAACTTCATGACAAATTCTGGCTTCTGAGGATCATATTCAAACTTTCTAGGGAGCCTATTCAAAGCTTTGGAGGAGCCACATAACACCTCAGGTTCTGTGTACACCTCAGGTTCGATGAAACTTAAATAAATGAGGATTTGGAGCTTTAAAAATAAAAAGTATTAACATGAAGAAGAAAATCTAAAGAGAAAAATTGCTATTGATTTACTGTTATAGAGTAAGTTGTACAACTAAATAAAAGCACACCCCATCATTCTGCCAGCTCTGTATCCTATGAGTTTATGTCAATGTTCTCAGTGGTAACATGTATATCAAAAAATCTGTGATACCTTAGTTTTAGATTATTCAAAAATTAGCTACTGACTATTCCACAAATGTTTGCCTATGTACATGTACCCAACTGGAAGATAATTACTGTAATAGGAGAATAATCCAGGGTATATTTCTGCTCTTCAAAATAGCAGATGAAAAAAAACCTCTGGCTTTAAAAGTGATATGCTAGACCAGAGGTCTCCAGCCTTTTTGTTTTGGCAGCCCGGAAAGGGAGGCAGGCACCGCTACGTGCACATGTGCAAACGGGCCGCACATGCACACAAATAGGCCATGCACATGTGCAAATGGGCCACACATGCGCACACGCAAACAGCCGCACATGAGCACATGCGCATGCGCAAACGGGGTTGCGTGGGCACGAGCACTGCAAATGGGGCAGCATTAGTGCTGGCGGAACGCTATGTGTGGCACTAGTGCCAGTGGGATGCTCCAGGAGCAGGGTGGCGCTAGCGCCAGTGGGGAACTTGGGGGGTGGGATGGCGCTAGCACTGGCAGGATGCTCGGGGCAGTGCTAGCGCTGGTTGGGACGCTCAGGGTGCGGTGGCACTAGCGATGGCAGGATGCTCAGGGTGGTGCTAGCGCGAGAGTGGGGTTAAGCAGCTGCGTCCGACAGGTTGGGGACCCCTGTGGTAGACTAAGAATGTGTGTGCATGATACATTAAACAAACCTTTCCTCAACCTTGGAAGAGCTTTCCCCATCAGATGATTCCCCCAGGTAAACAGAATTGTCAATATATCCTCCTGGCTGCCTCAACTTCCGGGAGTATTTTCCAAGTGTCAGGAGCCTGTCTCCTGGGTAGAGCAGACCTACGGTACACATTGTGTTGTTTTTTTTAAAAAAAGAATAACTGTAACATACTACACAGTCTATTCAATTCAATCTTTTATTACCGCCACAGACCAGAATTAAAAATTAAAACATTGAAATAAAATAAAACAGAACAAGATATAATACTATATTATAGTTAGTGGTGAGATCATTGATGGGCGGCCAAAGTCTGCCTAATTTTATAGAAAGGGTAGCAGAATTTAGCTATGTTCAAGGTGACTGTATCATACTGATCCAATAATAACACCTGTATGTAAGAGAGATCAGAATTTCCCAGTATTTTATCAGGTAGGGAGTTATGAGTCTGTGAATCCTTATAGAGGATACAACACAACAGGGCATGAGCTGTCATTTCAATGGCTCCTTGTCCCTAGCGGCACCATCTCAGTTCAAATGGGATAAGCTCTGGATTGTGCATCTGAATAATTTTCCTATATTGGATTTACAAAAGAGAGTTCTTAAAGCTTTGAAGAATGTTATGAGAAGGGTGAAAGAAAAAAAGAAAGAAATCAAGTTTTAGGACATTATTTTGAGTGACTAAAGATTGAGGTTGTTAGCAGTAAAAGGAAGGAATATAAAGTTAGTTTACTGATCAAGCTTAAAACGGATATGTCATTATCTCTGATAACCCTTAATAGACTTTTGCTGACATCAGAGGACTGGAATGAAAAGGCTTTAATTAAAGGCTTTCTTTATAAATAAGAGATGGGATATGGGAAGAAGAGATAATTTGTTGCTTTTTAAGAGAAGGGGATAAGTTACTAAAATTATTTATTTGTGATGAAAGGAAGTTTTCTTTTTTAAAATTTGTATTAGTTTTATTGCTTTAATTGTAATGTTTCATAACATTACTACAAAAAAGGATTAAATTTTATTCTCTCACTATGTTGCATAACTTGTTACAGCTGCACTAGAACTTTAAGTGACTGAGTTGTTTTTTAAGAGGAGCAATCATTGTTTCTGAACAACAGACCAATAGCTGGATTTACAATGGCCCAGGAAAATCACCTGTGCAGACCAAAGAGTCATTCTAAACTTTACAGACAGCATCAATTGCAAACCGTAAATTTTATCCATGATTTTATCAGTTGGCACATTTTAAGGCAGGTAGATTCTTTAAAAATGATGGAGCAGAATAATGTCTGTATGTAATTGACAATCTGCAGTGTGGATCACACATTTATTCTTTTTTATATGAAAGTTGGAAGCTGGCTAACTTATTGGGCCTCACTAAGGAAATGAGCCTGGGACAGCAGCTTTATTTAGGGTTTGAGACAAGATCACAAAACAAACTGTGATACAGTGTTATATCCAAGCCAAGGTTGAGCTACAGAAACCTAAAGAAATGCAGAAACTATCTGAAGGAGCCCAACATATGCTATATTATTTTCTTATCAGTGTCCCTTGAATTAACAAGACTTTCCCTCTATTTAGACGGATGGTGATTATGTAACTGTATAGGAGAATAACATTTCAGTTTTTCTCAGATATTAGATTACTAGACACTGCCCATGTTCTGGAACCTGCCTTTGAAATCATAAGGGTTAAAATATATTTTTATTTTAATTCACAGTCCTCCATGGAGCTATTCAACATAATCTTTAGCATCCTTATTTAGAAACATCATGACATTTAGTGGGTAAGTTGATTTCTAAGCACTATCACAACACTACTAGACCCATTTTTCTGAATTTAGAAATGCAAAATACCTTCCCCTTAACATTTTTGTTTGTTAGTGGCTTCCATCCTGAATCTATAAAGCTGAAACACAAAGTTGAATTTGGATTGGGCTGCTTGATATAAGGCACTCTTTCTGTGTTTTTTTTTTTTTCATACCTCTTTTTAGTGCTCTTTCTGAAATTGGAATTCCATATTTTTTGCAAAGCTTCACACACTGAAAGTAGACATAGTGGCATGCCAGGCGATGGTGGTCCACCAATTCTCCCATTTCACCCTCTAGGCAGCTTGGCAAGCAGTGACTATCGACAATCGGGTCTCCAGACCTCACCAGTCTACACTGTTCTGCAAAGTCTAATGGATTAGTTTTCCTCTGTAAAAATAAAACAGTGTCTCTGTTATAAAACAATACTGTTGTACAATAAATGTTCTTATGCTGCTAAAATTGTAACATAGTGAGACGTTAATTAAAAGGACAAAGACATTTTTTGTCCTACTGCAAAAAAGAAGTCAGATCTCTGTGCAGACCTTTACTGAAAATGGATTAAAAAGTGTTGCGTAGATGTGAACTGGGGACACTTGCTGTATAGCAATAACAACTTCGCAGCAACTGCTCTAAGCAATCAATTCTCAATGTCAAAGTCAAATTGCAGTTTATAAAATCTCTGCTTTACTGCTGAAGAAAACTATAGAGGGCATACCCACTGTCACAAAACAGTATTTTAGTTCAGGGGAAATCAGTACTCCGTGGGGGTCTTCCCATTTGCATTTCTGCCATTTCTGCATTTTATACTGAACAGGTGTCTAGTGTTAAAGTTGTGTTCTTACCATTTTCCCAGGGGAGGGGGAGGAGGAAGGTGTGTTAAGTACATTCGCTGCCTTGAGTTATTTGTAAAAAATGATAAATAAAAATAAATAAATATCACCCATTATTTGAGAGGTAAGTCAGGGTGACTGTTAGCATCGGGAAACAGTGGCAATAGACAGTATAGAGACTGGCAACAGGAGAGCAGGTTCATAAGTGTATAGATTTTAATCAGCTCAACCAGCTTTAACTCAGCAATGGGGAAACCCATTACATTATCTAACCTGATTGAAAATAGGAAAACTGCTGTTCAAGATCCAAGGAAGGTGCTACTCCTCTAATAGAAAGATGATAGGATTAGCCAGCAATTATACATGCTGGGCTCTTCCACAGAGGTAGAGCTACTTCTGCTGCCCGCATTTAAGTGAACGTTGATAGGGAATTACTTTGGCAGGCTTCTTTGTGAATGCCGTCCTCATTGGGCTTTTTCCTTTTTCACCATTCTCTGGTGCTGTTTCTTTCCCCTAGATTTCAGGAGCCCTGGTGTCGCAATGGTTAGAATGCAGTATTGCAGTGGCTCTGCCAACAGCAAGGAGTTCAATCCTGACTGGCTCAAGGTTGACTCAGCCTTCCATCCTTTCGAGTTTGGTAAAATGAAGACCCAGATTGTTGGGGGCAACAGGCTAACTCTGTAATGTGCTTAGAGAGGGCTGTAAATCTCTGTGAAGCAGTATATAAGTCTAAGTGGTAGGGCTATTTGTTGAGACATTTAGTGCAGTGGTTCTCAATCTTTTTAATGCCCGACCCCCAACCGGTCGTAAGTCGAGGACTACTCAATCGGTCGTAAGTCGAGGACTACTAAACTGGTGCAGCATCATTTGCAGAATGGGATTTTTGGTGGGCTCAGCAGGGCAGAGACAGCCTGGACAATTCCTATTGGCTTTTGAAAGCCAATAGAATTAGACTCTATTCAAGAGAGCCTATTCTATTGGCTTTCAAAAGCCAATAGAATAAAAGGGAGTAGCACAGTTAAGGAAAAGGGGGAAAAAATGGCGGACTGCGTTGTTTGGCGACCCCCGTGAAATGGTCGTTCGACCCCAAATGGGGTCCTGACCCACAGGTTGAGAACCACTGATTTAGTGATTTATCAGTACTATAAAATGAAATGGCCTTCTGCCTAGAATTTATCCTTACTTAATGCAACCAGCTAGTAGTCAATTCCCATGATCCAAATGATTCGAGTCAGGCCACAAAAATATAGTACCTTTAGCCGTCGTCTGGTTTCCTTGTATCTCTTCCCAACTATTTCCATTTGGTTATAAGTTAAGTGCCTGCGATCTGTTTCAGTGTTGATGGGAGGAACTTGCAAATGGTTTGACTTAGGTTGACAAGCTACCTGAGAAGATATACTGGACTTGGCATGAGGGATTAAATCTCCTTTTGCAGTGATGGATGCAGTTTTTGCCACAGGCAATGGCTCTTTAGCATGATTATTAAAACAAAGGGAAAAAAAACAGAAACCAGATTATAAGGCCATCAACTATTGAGCTGTTTTATCATGCTGGCTTCTACTTAGTTGAGGAAATACTTTCTCAGAAATTAGAAAAATGTCCTGTCTTACCTTGATTTTCAACAGTTGGTATTCACAATAATTACAAATCTGCAGTTTTAAACATCTATTAAAATAACCAAAATAACGAATACATATGACTATATATGACTGTTTCTTATTTCTTTACATATACTGTATTAAATTGCCAAACTGCAGCCAACCTATAGCCAACACCAATATAGTATTATGTCACTGACTAGAATGTTATTTTTTCTTAAGTTATTTATGTACTCCCCAACTTGCTATTCTTCAAATATGTTGGGATTACAGTCTAGAATTTCCAAATACCTTCAAAAACCTTAGATATTTGTTTATGATGCCATTAACAGCTAAATCTGTAAATCAGAACTACAGGATCAAACTTATCAGGGACTGAAAACTATTCAATCACCTGTATTGATTTAGTTCCCTTGTTACCTTGCTTTGGCTGTTTCCAGTTCTCCCTTAAACTATCCATCCATAATCTTTGACATTCAGCCAGGTCAGCACCAGTTATAGTATGTCCTTTCTTTGAAATGGTGAGAAAGACAATGATTTCTTCTAAGTCAGTTTTACTGATAGGCACTTTGGTCTGGAAACAAAAATTGTAGTTAGGTCTGGGATTTGACATGATAAAAAAAAATCCAAGGGGAAACATCTATTTCAAAGAGAGCAATTTCTTACATTATAGCTAGATACGAACACACTATGGTTCAGTTTATTACTATCTGCAGTCATTGATTGAATGAGCAAACAGAATGTGCAGTCTTCTGTGAGAAATCATGTAGCTCAATGATTGCAATACAAGCAATGTGCACTTTGAACATCAGCAAATTGCAAACTGGTGATGCTCATGTGATTCTCTTAACTAAAAAGTGCTGTGAAGAAGTTGAATTTTTTTCTTTTTACTAAGACTCCTGTGATATATTTGCACACACAGATACTCTCATTCAGGTTGGGATATGTGAATGGAAACTACTTTCATATGGCACGCTTCTAAAGAATTAGGATATATAAATATTTCTTTAAATGTAATGTAAGTTAACCATAGATGACAAGAACTTAAAATGTTATATCAAAAGTCCGGTTAACGGTTATAGTCCCAAGTATTAAGATTTCAACTTCAGTTTTTTTCATCAGACTTCACTGTCCTCATGTATTTATTTTTGCTCTTAATCTATCAGACTGCAGGGAGCCAACTCAGGAACAAACTTTACAAGATTAATAATTAAATTAATAAAATCTTCTAGTTATAGAAAATGACTCTTTACTTATCTAATACCAGTCTAAGCAAACTTTTTAGAACATTTTAGGTTTTCCATATATATAAAATCAATTGTTCTATTTATAAACTATGAATTTTGGTGTAGTGATTAAAATGCTGGCCTAGAAATCAGGAGACTGAGTTTTTCTCTTGCCTTAGGCATGAAAGCTGATTGGGTGACTTTGGGCCGGTCACTCTCTCTCAGCCCAACCCACCTGGCAAAGGCGTGGGGAAAGAGAAAAATGTGTTTGTTTGCCACCCTGAGTTATTTACGAGGGCCATTCAGAAATAAATCTCCATTTGGTTATCAATGACAGACACTCACAGATACAGAACTTTTATTATACACATTAGAAAACTACATTACTGTCAGAATCCAATCATATTTCATCTTTAATTATCAAATATAGAAACTCCCAATTCTGCCTTCTTTGGATTCTGCCATAAGAGGGAGAGAAGGGGGAGAACAAAGGGGCTTTATGGCCCTCACTTCCTTCAGTACACTTCAAAGAGCTGAATGCTGAATGTGTGTTTATTGTAACATCAAAGCGTTAGCACTAGAGAACCTTATCATAACAAAGCAGGATACTTGCCTTTCATGTAGTTACCTGAAGTCTCCATTCAGACGGAAGAAAGAAGAAAGGGGGTGGAATTGTGATACTTGAAACTATCACTGGAAGGGGGGTTGATTGGGTGGGACTACTGGGGAACCCCTTAAAACCTTGAATGGAAGAGCTTGAACCCCAAGTCCTGTCTAGCATGCCTGCAACCATTTTCTCTTAATAAAGGATTCCTGTTGGAAGAATTATTCCAAGAGTTCTGTCTTCTTAAGATGCAAAGTGGGGTGGGTCCTTACATTAGACAGGACTTGCAAAATTAATCCACCTGGAAGGAAGACCCTTGCCGGGGGATTTTGCAAAAATTTACCATGTCAGACAATGGAGCAAGAGAGGGGGAAAACTCCCTGGAAAGAGAGCCGCTGACCCAGTTGGAACCTTGCCAGATGTTGGGATCCGAGAGGCCAGATTCCTCAGGAGAAGAAGTGGTGGAGACACAGGACCACAAGCCTCGCTGGTCGATGGGCGTTGGAAAGAAAAGTGAGTGGGGAAAGGAATCAAGAAAGGTGACCCTGAGACGGGGGACCAAGCAACCAGAATGGAAGCAGGAGATGGAGAAATCCCTGCACGCAAGTGAAGAGGGAGGAAGCTGGGCACCGTACTCAGACTGGATCCTAGAGAAAGCTATTGACCTGATGAAGAGAACTCTCAGCTCCCTAGGAGAGGAGAATACTGAGCCCTACGGCCGCCCCAGTTCCTGGAGCCGCAAAGGGAGAGATACCGAGGGGGACATGGAACCTGCAACCCCAGGGACATCTACTGATCCAGGAGCTCCCACCCCCTACCGGACCACAGATGGCAATCTGGACGGAAGGCACTACCACCCACAACAGAGGCACCGATCCATTCCAAGACGTCCACCGTTGGAAGTGAAATTCCAAGGGGAGCCAACACGCTTGGGGGTTTTTCCTAACCCAAGTCCTCAGCTACATGGAGGAATATGGGCAGGATATTCCCAGCGACAAAGCCCGCATCCGGATCGTGCAATCTGCCCTGGATGGACCAGCTGCGGATTGGGTAGTGAACTTGCATGACTCCAATGCCCCAGAACTCAGTAACTTCAACCGTTTCATGTCCTCTTTGAGAAGACGATTTGAAGACCCCCTGGCTGATCGCAAAGCCCGTGAAAGAATAACAACGATGAGGCAGGGCAAACGCCCCAGTGGCTGAGTATACACAAGAATTCCGGGCCATTGCCAGCAAACTGAATTGGCCAGAAGACATCCTCCTTGGCCATTTCAAAGACGGACTAAACTATGATCTATATGATGCTTGCCTGCCCCGAGGGGTCCCACATCGACTTGAGGAATGGTACGTCTTGGCAGAGGAAGCAGAGATCGACATATTGAAGAGGCACCGCCGAGGAAAACAATGGAGCCGCCCCCCGCCTGATCTGACACACCAACCGGTGAAATCATCGGATACAGCCAAGAAGCAAATGAGATGTTTCAAGTGCGGAAGAGAAGGGCATCGAGCTGTAGAATGCCGCTCAAAGGCCCCCCAGCACAACCCAGACAGATCCCCAATCAACAAACCCGGAAAGTATTCAGCCAAGCCAAAAGAAACGGCATGAGAATGATGGAAATTGCAGAAACCCCCACCTCTGCTCACCAAGGGGAAAGGACTCCAGCCTACACCACAGGGCCGGTGGATGCCTCAGATGACAGCTCGGAGGGCGAACCCCTGGTAAGTGGATGCATCACACCCATCTTCAAAACAGTGACTATATTAATCCCCCCCCTGCCCGAAGCTGTGAAGGTGAAAGCCTTAATAGACTCTGGCTGTACCCGCTGCCTCATTAGCCCAACACTAGGGGGGAATCTGGGCATCCCATCCAGGAGACTGGAACAACCAATCTCATTTGGCCAGCTAGATGGATCCATAGCAGGGGGGGTGCCAGCTACCCTAGCCACTTTGCCAATACATCTCTCCCTGGGCAACCATGAAGAGGACTTAACGTTTGTGGTGACCCCAGGTAGGGAATGCCCAATGATTCTAGGGATGGAATGGTTGAAAAAATGGAACCCCTGGGTAAATTGGAGGACGACAGAAATCAAATTCCCGAAGGGGGACCCTATGGACTTAAAACCCCAAGGGAGGCTACCAGAATCAAGAATAGAAAAAGCATCATAGGAGAGGAAAAAAGATTAACAGAAATACCAGAGGAATATAGAGACCTTGCTGAAGTCTTCAGTTAGGAGAGGGCGAATGAGCTCCCCCCCAATGACCCACAGACTGTACCATTGAATTCAAGCCTGGGGCAAAACTCCCGAAGCCCAGATTATACTCCATGAGCCCACAGGAGAAGGAGGAAATGGAAAGATTTATAAAAAAAAACCTGGAGAGAGGGTTCATTGAGCCAGCCAAGCCTAAAGTGGCTGCCCCGGTCCTTTTTAGAGAGAAGAAGGATTGCTCTTTACGTTTATGCGTGGATTATAGGGCCCTGAATACAATCAGTGAAAGCAACCTATACCCTCTACCCCTCATGAAAGACATGCTGTCATACCTATCGAAAGGGAAAAATTTTTCTAAACTAGACCTAAGGGAAGCTTACTATCGTGTGAGAATTAAGGAAGGGGACGAATGGAAGACTGCATTTAACTGCCCCATGGGGTGCTATCAATTCAAAGTCTTGCCATTTTGATTACAAGGGGGCCCTGCAGTCTTTATGCAACTAATCAATGACGTTCTAAGGGAGCACCTGTTTAAGGGGGTCCTTGTTTACTTGGACGACATTCTTATCTTTACCGAAACAAAAGAAGAACACGTCAAACTTGTCAGAGCGGTTTTAAAGAAGCTGCGAGCCGCTCACCTATATGCCAAACTCTCAAATGCGAATTCCACAAGGAAGGATAGACTACCTAGGCTCGCATATCCCCACAGGCATTGAAATGGACCCAGAAAAGGTCCAAGCAGTACAACTTGGGCACCAACCCCGTCACAAGAAAGCAACTACAAAAGTTCCTGTGCCTTTGCAACTTTACCGCCAATTCTCCCCTCATTTGCCCAGATAGCCTTGCCCCTCACTAACTTACTAAAAACGAAGGGAGCATCCTCAGTAAAACCTAGCCAGCCACTAACATGGACAATGGAGTGCCAAGCAGCGTTTGAGAGACTAAAGAGACTTTTTCTGCCGAACCAATACTAAGGCACCCAGACATGGACAAGCCCTTCGTAATACAGGCAGATGCAAGTGATGTGGCAGTGGGGGCTGTGCTATTACACGAAAATGATGATGCAGTATTGCAACCCTGTGCATATACATCTAAGAAACTCACGGAAACAGAACAGCGCTGGCCCGTATGGGAGAAGGAGGCTTATGGGATACGTTGGGCATTACTCACGTGGCGACAGTTCCTGGAAGGCAACAAAATCCCCTTCCAGGTATGGACTGATCACAAAATTTTAGAAGCCCTGAAACTTCCAGGAAACTCAATCCCAAACAAGCCCGCTGGTCCCAGCATTTTCACCATTCCCATTTAAGTCTCAAACATTTACCGGCAGAAAGAACTGCCTGGCAGATGCTCTATCTCGCATGCCTCAATATAACAGCGCACGAACCACAGACTCTAGACCAATAATGGCAGAGTCACACCTGGCAGCACCAGTAACCACAAGAACCCACGCCAAAATAAAACCACAACTGGACAGCCAAACTGGGATTGAATTCAGAAAAAGCTTGGAAACAGATGAATGGTTCCAGAAAAACAAAAATGTGTGCACAATGAGAGCCGGGTTGCCTTGGGTAGGGGAAAAGTTATATATACCAACAACTCAAAGAGTAACTTTCATGCACCTTTGCCCTGACACAAAATCAGCAGGGCATTTTGGATTTGTAAAAACTTTACATTTAATTA